TTCTTAATCATCATCATCTTCTTCTTCTTCAGCTGGCTGGCTTTCTGTCAGGAAGGCTTTGATTGTGCTTTTCCTGCATAATGGCAGATTGGGTTGGACTGGATGGCCTTTGGGAGTCTCTTCCAACTCTATTATTATTATTATTATTATTATTATTATTATTATTATCATTATTATTATTTGAAACACCACAAGATGAGTCCACAGCAGACACTCTGCTGGCTGCTGAATTGGATCACACGTCGGACACTTACCAAGTGTCTAGGACTGTGTGATATATTGGCGAATAATGCGTGCAGATCCAAGTAGGATGGCCTTTTGCAGCTGGCAGATGGTAATCTTGTCAGCGTTGATTGTTTTTAAGTGCAGGCCAAGGTCTTGAGGCACTGCACCCCGTGTGCCGATCACCACTGGGACCCCCTTGACCAGCTTGTGCCAGTCTTTGCAGTTCGATCGTTAAATCCTCGTCTCGTGTCAGCTTTTTCAATTGTTTCTCTTCAATCCTGCTCTCACCTGGGATTGCGACATCGACGATCCATACTTTGTTTTTCAACATGATCGTGAGGTCAGGAGTCTTGTGCTCCAAAACTCTGTCTGTCTGGATTCAGAAGTCCCAGAGGAGTTTGGCGCGTTCATTCTCTGTAACTTTTTCCGGCTTGTGATCCCACCAGTTCTTTGTGGCAGGCAGATGTTGTTTGTGGCACAAGCTCCAATGAATCARCTGAGCAAGGGTGTTGTGCCTCTGCTTGGAGTCTGTCTGRGCYATCTTCTRGCAGCAGCTYAGGATTATTATTATTATTATTATTATTATTATTATACATTCTTATCATGTTCTCGTTTCCCATCCCTTCCTTCTTTCCGGCTTGTGATCCCACCAGTTCTTTGTGGCAGGCAGATGTTGTTTGTGGCACAAGCTCCAATGAATCATCTGAGCAAGGGTGTTGTGCCTCTGCTTGGAGTCTGTCTGTGCAATCTTCTTGCAGCAGCTAAGGATTATTATTATTATTATTATTATTATTATTATTATTATTATACATTCTTATCATGTTCTRGTTRCCCATCCCTTCCTTCTTTCCGGCTTGTGATCCCACCKGTTCTTTGTGGCAGGCAGATGMTGTTTGTGGCACAAGTTCCAATGAATCACCTGAGCAAGGGTGTTGTGCCTCTGCTTGGAGTCTGTCTGCGCAATCTTCTCGCAGCAGCTGAGGATTAGTATTATTATTATTATTATTATACATTCTTATCGTGTTCTCCTTCCTTCTTTCCTGGCAGGTTCATGGACTCTCTGGGCGCGGCCTTTGGCCTGATCTCCCGGGAGACGCGGAGCAAGATCTCGGTCCTGGAGCAGCACCGCAAGGGCCGGCACGGGCCGCACTACCGCTCTTTGCAGTCCATGGTGGCCTATGAGCTGGGCAAGGGCCTGGTGGACTTTGGCCATTCCCAGCCGCCGCCCGCTGCCCGCTTGCCCTCCGGCTGCCGGACGCTGCTGCGCCTCCACCGAGCCCTGAAGTGGCTGGAGCTCTTCCTGCACAAACTGGGGGGCAATGGCGAGGAGGAGGGTGAGGAGGGGTCCCCGGAGGCCTCCCAGATGTGTGCCGAGGCTTACCAGGCGGCCCTGGCCCCCTTCCACAGCTGGTGGGTCCGGCAGGCGGCCTCCTTGGCCTTTCTGGCCATGCCCTCCCGCCAGGAGCTTCTGCGCAACATCTGTGCCAACGAGGGGCAGCGCCAGGCCAAAGGGGTCCTCCGGGCCACCGTCCGCAGCATCGCCCATGTCTACAACGCCACCCACCAAGTCTACGCCCGACAAGGGATGCTGGACCTGCCCTGAACGCACGCACTTTGCAATCCTTGGAGTGGTCATTTGACCAAAGGGATAGCCACACTCTGGAGCAGGACTGGGCCAGCTTTGGCTCTCCCTCCAGGTGTTTTGGACTCCAACACCCATGATCCCCAAGACCCTACCGGCTGTTGGGAATGGTAGGAGTTGCAGTCCAAAAGTTGGCCCAGGTCTGCTCTAGAATGATAGCAATAATAGTGAGATGGAGAAGGAGGAGAAAGAGGAGGAGAAGGAAAGAGGGCAGCAGAAGGGAAGGGGAAGGAGGAGAAGGGAAGGAGAAAAGGAAGAGGAA